TTAGGTTCGGTCATATATCTACGTTAATTTTAACTCCAATAAAAAAAATTGACCTCATACATAATGAAATGGGTAGCTTTATCATTTCATAAGAAAAAAATTAGAAAAATATATTAATTCAGGAAAACTTGGCTTATTAGGCAAATCGGGCCTTGAATAGTAGGCTGAGAAGTGAGTTCTGGCTACTAGGTACGACATATATATATATATATATATATATATATATATATATATATATATATATATATATATATATATATATATATATATATATATATATATATATATATATATATATGTGAATATATACATAGATAGATAGATAGATTGATAGATGTTTATCTTTACTCTGACATCTCAATTATGTCCGGTGGGAGGAATAACTCTCAGACATGTAGACTCGTTTTTCAGGTTACCTGGAATCATAACAATATTCATGCAGTATTCTGTCTGACAGAGCCAGGCCGATGGAGAAACCCATGTCCAGACAGTGCTCGGCGCCAGCTGACCAGGCCAGAATTATTCAGCTGTGGCTCCTCGGCTTTTCTGCTCGGAAGATATCTTTAAAGTGCCACACCAGCGTCACCACAGTGTACCGACGCATACAGCTTTGGAAGGAGGGAGGAACACTGCGAAGTAAATCACGAGGAAAGAAATTTTATGGAAATACTATACAGCGAAACACTGCATTTGCTGCTGCACGTTTTCAGCATCTGAAGGCACCTGATGATATTTATCACGGACTGCATTTTCATTACAGACAAAAATTATTAGATAAATATACACAAGATATCGCCCTTCAGATGTTATTGCTATATTATTTTCAAGTTGTTGCACGCTGCTTCGCATATCAAAATAAGCTTTTCAATTCATTATCAGATCATTGTAACTTTTGAACAGTGAAACAGTAAAAGGTTCTTTAAACTCAAGTATCTACAGCAGAATCCATATATTGACAAATTTCTGTTGTTCTGTTTGTTAAAGATTATTGTCAAACCCGGAAATTTTAAGTTCTTTGGAACGTTTTAATCAAATTTGATGTTGTTATATAAATAAATTCTCATTTTTTATTTTCTGAATGCCGGGGACTTCCTGTTATCCTGTTAGCTGTCCCTAATTCCGCCTTGGACACCCGCTTGGACCACTGAGACCTAAGTATTGCTGTTGCCCTGCGCCTTGACATCCCTATCTCCACCGAACACCGGTGTTTCTGCGGATATGCGTCAGCGGACCAATACGACAGCCATGGTTTCACCTGTCCTAGTTCACAGGGAAAGACTGACAAACATGAAGCAGTCAATGACATCACCAAGAGAGGTTTGGCTACAGCTGGGTGTCTAGTACAAAGGAACCTCAGTTGTACAGAGCTGACAACAGCCAAAAACGCCCAGATGGAGTCACTCTGCAGCCATGGAGGGAAGGTATACAGGTCGTATGGGACTACACGTGTGCGTCTACATTGATTGATACCTATCTACCTTACAGCACAGCTGAGGGAGGTGGGGCGGCCACCTTCAGAGAGACCCAGAAAACAAACAAGTACAGGGACCTAGAACATTGTTACAGGTTCGTGCCGATTAGCTCTTTGCTGGGCGCCTAATGCCAATGTGCACTTAAGTTCCTAAAGGAGGTGGGGTCAGGAACTCAATAGGAAAACTAAAAACTCAAGAGCGGCCAGTTTCCTGTTACAGCTCCACAGTGTCGCGATCCAGAGAGGAAATGCGTGCTGTATCTTGGGTATGCACCCAACCTCCAAAGAGCTGGATGAGGTCTTCGAACAATGATTGTTATATGTGTTTGTGTGTTTTCTGTAAACGGTAACATTTGAAAATGTATATATATGAAATATTTTAGCATACTCTGCTAATGATATTCGGAGTAGCATACAGCGAATATATACATATCAAGTGGTGTATAGACCAGACTATGTTGAGAACTAAAGTATACTTGCTGGTTCTTCAGTAACGTGTTCTGGTAGCCAAAATAATCTTTCATAGCAGCACTTCTCAACCCTTATGGAACCGTTGAAATCATTTTCATGTCTCAAGGAAACCCCTGCATAAAACCTATTATAAAAACTTATTATATAATATGTATATATTTTAATAATAAAACATTTAGTCATTAATCACCAAAAAAAACAATCATAACTGTAAAACAAAAAAATAAGCATTGTCAGTGTTGAAAAAGCAGAAGATAAATCATGGCAATATGAACAAATATATGGGTCAAGACAATGTTAATTTTTAAAGCCAATTCAGATTATGAAATTGGCTTCTCTAATGTGAAACCTGTCCTTATCTTTTCGAATACATATACTTAATTCGGGGTCGATCTTTAGATAAAAAAATACAGATTTCATTTTCAACTGAGAGGAGACGATTTCTATCTTTACTGTTGTTTTCGGTTAAATGAGAAAGCTTTGCGCACACACGTTACAAAATTGCAGCAATATATTTATTGCTTTACTATTAATGACAGAATAATCGTCTTTCACCTAAATACTGACTTCCTTTAAAGGTTTGGGGACTCCTGAACCTCCCAGTGAATTCAGTATAGGTATAGTGAATTCAGTATAGTATAGGTTTAGTATAGTTAATAGTTCAGTATAGTTAATAGTTCAGTATAGTTATAGTATAGTTAATAACTATATATATAGTTACTAACTATAGTATAGTTAATATAACTATAAACGGTGGTACGGTTGTAATATAACTATAAACGGTTGTACTATACTGTACTATAGTATAACTATACTATAGTACAGTATAGTACAGCATAGTTCAGTATAGTATGGTTGGCCTCTGTACCATCATGGCTGAGATGGTTAGGGACAGAGTGTCTGGAATTCATTAGAAAGCAGGTTCCAGTCACTCCATGGCCTCAAAATGTTTTTCACTGATATATCACGCCATTGTGATTTCTTTGTAATCTGAGTGTATTGTAAGAGTGTGAACACCAAACCATAGGCCAGTGTGGTACTTCATACGATGAGTAGTACTTCATGTGGGAAATTTACCTGTGGGATTTTATTTTAATTATTGATTTATTGTATATATGTATCTATATATATATATATATATATATATATATATATATATATATATATATATATATATATATATATATATATATTTATTTATGTATTTATGTATTTATTTATTGACTACATTAATTTTGTTGGATTTGATGATGCTTTGGGACCCTCTTAACCACTCCTCATATTCGGAATATAAGGTTCAGTCTAGTTTTATTGTTGTTGTTGTTGAGTTCGGGCTGTGCCTCTCCTTTCTGGGTTACGTTAGGATAGGTTAGGTTACGTTCGTTGGGACTTGTGGGTCACCTTCGACCTGTCCTGTGTGTAGCAAGGTTAGGTTTTGTTGGTCAGGATAGGTTGCATACCTGATTCTTGTGTCTCTCTTGTCTGGTTAAATCTGTCAGAGTGCCTGCTCCTACGAGGTGGTCCTTTAGGGACCACCTCGTAAGAGCACCTCTCCCAGTGCTCCCAGAGGCCCGAAGATGTCTTTGCCCTTAGTTTGTTTTCAGCGCTTTGCATTATCGTCTCTGAGTAACCTTTGTTTCTGAACATATCCCATAGGTCCTGAAGCTGTGGCTTCAAAATCTCTCTTTAGTGTTAATTCGTTTCTGGCGGAGACCTCGATGTATACCATTGCGTCTAGGAAGTTGTTTGTGGAGTCACTCTGTTCCAGGGTAAACTTCAGGTTTCCATGGACCGTGTTAGCCAATGACAAGATACATTGTATCCGTTGTTCACCTTATTCCCTAATCCCGATGATGTCGTTGATATACCTAAAGTATACTGCTGGTGCGTCCTCCATGAGTGATCATACCCTCTCGAAGACTACGTGCATGAAAATCACTGCAATCGCAACGCTGCTAAAGGCTCCTATTGCTGTTCCTTTAGTTTGCCTCTTTGCCCTTAGGCTTTCCCTTCAAATTGGAGAAACGTGTCACTCATGGCGTGAAGGATTCCCTTTTCTAGCGCATCCCTTCGAGGTGACCTCCTGGCCCCTGCTTCTCTTAGGTCCCTTGTTAGTATGTATATATGTTATCATCAAAGAAAGTGGCTACTATTCTAGCCGCCTCCTTCTGTGGAATGCACGAGTTGAGCGAGATCACATCCATGGAGAAAAGGCATGTTCCGTGCGGAACCGGGCCTCTGATGTCTGCTATTTTGTTTAGGAAGTCCGTGGTGTTCTTTAGGCTCTCAGGTAAGAGAAGGTTCAGAAAGGCTGTGCATGTCCAGTCCACCGGCCTTGTAGGCACCCGGTAGCCGCTTGGGACTGCTCTCCCCTGCCACGTTCCTGTTCCCAAGAGCGGGTTTTTATGTATGTTTGGTAGGAGGTACATATGTAGAATGACCGACACGAAGGTATTGTAGAAGTCCCTTGCCATGCCTTGTATGGGACCTCCTTAGCCATCCATGTCCTGGTTCTCGAATAGTTTGAGTACTATTTGTTTGCTCCTTGTCTTGGGAGTTTTAAAAGCACTGCTTGCTGGTTGATAAATCTCTGATATGCTGATCCGTCGGCTAGGTGCTTTTCCATCTCCCGTCTGTATTTGTCCCTCTTCCAGACGACGACGACACCTCCTTTGTCCTCTAGTTTCACCACTATTTCCGACTTCGCTTTCAGAGTCGCTAGGGCTTCCCTCTTCTCTCTGGACAGGTTGCAGCTGTCTTCAGTCTGTGCTTGTTTTGAGGTCCACCTTCATCCACTGTATTACCTCCCTGAGTCTCTTGAGGTTGTAGTTCGGCTGCATTTTGTACTTTGGCAGGGTGTAGATACCTGAGAGAGAGAACAAGTTTAGTTTTTGGGGTTGCCCATTGTAACTTACCCTGCTCCGGCCGGAATTTGCTCCAGACTTGGTTGATACTGTTTTTTAAGCTGTTGCAGAGATCCTCTACCGTATCCTGTCTCTCTTTTTTTTGTGCCGGATGGCCCGTTACGAAGGTGAGACCCCTTCCCAGCAATTTCATCTCATGCTGAGATAAGGGAACTTCTGAAACAAATGTTTGTTTTAGTTGTCCATTTCTCTGTTGTACTGCCGTTTGTTACCGTAGTTTCTCGGCCCGCCATCGTTCCATTCTGTGCATTAGTCCCCTCTCTGTTGTCATCCCTCCTGGTCTGTTTGTTGTTCCCAGGGTTGTAGCCGTTGTTTTTCTGGGGGGCTGAGACCGTTGTTGTTCCCCAGGTTGTGGCCATTGTTGTTCCCATGGCTGTAGCGGTCGTTGTTCCCGGGTTGTTGCCTTTGTTCTTCCCAGGGCTGTAGCGGTCGTTGTTCCCCAGGTTGTGGCCATTGTTGTTCCCATGGCTGTAGCGGTCGTTGTTCCCCAGGTTGTGGCCATTGTTGTTCCCATGGCTGTAGCGGTCGTTGTTCCCCAGGTTGTGGCCATTGTTGTTCCCAGGGCTGTAGCGGTCGTTGTTCCCCAGGTTGTGGCCATTGTTGTTCCCAGGGCTGTAGCGGTCGTTGTTCCCCAGGTTGTGGCCATTGTTGTTCCCAGGGCTGTAGCGGTCGTTGTTCCCCAGGTTGTGGCCATTGTTGTTCCCAGGGCTGTAGCGGTCGTTGTTCCCCAGGTTGTGGCCATTGTTGTTCCCATGGCTGTAGCGGTCGTTGTTCCCGGGTTGTTGCCTTTGTTCTTCCCAGGGCTATGGCCATTATAGTGGTTCCTGTCCCGTTCTTTTTCAGGGATATTCCTGCGTGGGCCCTAAGCCTCTGGCTGGCCCACTAAGTGTTACTTGTTTCTGTTTTACTTGGGCGGAGTATGAGTATTTATGACTCGTATGGTCGCTTCAGTAAGATTTTGCCATATGTGTTTAACAACTTCTTCTGCTTCCTGTCCCTGTTCGTTCGATGCCTGCTCTCGTCTCTGTTCCTGCAGGAAAATAAAACGTCCCTTGTTGTTGTTACCTCTTTGCCCATATTCTCCGTCTTACGGAGATCCAAAATCCTTATCTTGACCCCCTCCCAGTGCTATAAAGTTGTAATGTCTTCTTTTCCTACCATCCTCCTTCTATTATGAAAAGTGTCTTCGTATCTCTTTACCTCTGCGCTCTGCGCATCAGCGACCCTCAGTTTTTGGATTCTGAGATTTCCTTTATCTACAAATCTTTCTTTCACCTTGGTAACCCTGTACATTTTATCAACTGTGCCTATTCTCAAGCTAAACGAAATATTTTTCATCCTAAGCTGGCTTCCAACACTAATAGTACTGTGCTCTGCCTTCCCTTCTTATCTGAACTAAAAACGTTTACTAATACCTTGCGTTCTCTAGACATAAAGCTTGCCTTTCGACAGACTAACACTCGTAGCATTCTCCACACTGCTCCTCCTGCTTCTAATGCTGCTGGTGTTTACTCTATTTCCTGTTCGTTTGTCCTCTCCAATACTTTGGTGAAACTGGTCGTTCACTAAATGAAAGACTTAAGGAACATAAAAGAAGTGTTAAGTCTGCAGACACAAACAATGCTCTCTTCTGTCATGTTAGGGATTATAATCATCCTATTGTTTGGTCTTTCTCTAAAATAATCTTTCCTGCCTCTACTCTTCACAGACGCCGTCTTGTTGAATCGGCCCTGATACACAACCTACCCAACATGAATCTGAGTCCTGGTTTTGTTGTTGTTGACTCTTCCCTTTCACAGTACATACTGAAATGTTTTAAACTTTCTAATAAACGTGACCTAACATAAGCCTGCCCTTCCTTTTTTCTTTCTCTTGTTTTGTCTAACGCTCCCTTTCTTATTCCTATTATTACTTCATTTATTACACCTTACTTACAGTAACTTTTGCGTTGCTCTTATCTTCCTCTAAGATTTCCGTCTTCTCACCTTTCTCTCTCTCGCCTACTTAATGCCCTTGCCTCCCTCGTCTCATCACAATTGACTTGATAATGGCTCAGGACCAACTGAAAGGTCGTCGTCTCTTCAATTTCTAGTGTGTGTAGTTTGGTCAACATTTTTCAGCTACGTTATCATCATCTGCATGTGAAAACCATACCATAGGCCAGTGCAGTACTTCATACGAAGAGTAGTACTTTATGTGAGAAATTTTCCTGAGGGTTTTTTATTTATTTATTTTATTTATTTATATATTTACTTATTTATATATTTATTTATGAATTTATTTATTCATTATTGACTAACTTAGTTATGTTGGACTTTACTATTAAATTATTTAATTAAGCAAATGAACTGTATAGATATATTTATCCCACTAATAAACGCCTCATAAAATTGAAGGTTTTTATTTATAATTTCAACTGGACGGAAATTAATTTTTAGTTGCAGAATAAATTTGTTAAAGTAAAGTTTGTTAGTTATTTACTTCTAATAAAATTAAATTGTTTTAATAAAAACAGAACTCAGTTCTTGGAAGTTGTTGTTGTGTTGATTTAGGGGAGGTTATCTTGAGATGATTTCGGGGCTTTAGTGTCCCCGCGGCCCGGTCCTCGACCAGGCCTCCACCCCCAGGAAGCAGCCCGTGACAGTTGACTAACTCCCAGGTACCTATTTACTGCTAGGTAACAGGGGCATTCAGGGTGAAAGAAACTTTGTCCATTTGTTTCTGCCTCGTGCGGGAATCGAACCCGCGCCACAGAATTACGAGTCCTGCGCGCTATCCACCAGGCTACGAGGCCCCCCGACGACGGTCTTGGGATCGGATGCGCCCTGGCTGCCCGATTCCGGGAAATAGCGGAGGGATGGGGGTCCCTAGTCTCTTCAGGTTATACACCCTGCAATCTCCTCAGGCCACATAATTTACAGTCTCATCAGGCCACGGACATGATGGATGAAGCGGAAGGTATGGCGAAGGATGTCATGATAGACGTCTTCGTCTCTCGCACCTGCTCCGTCGAGGAGAACGGGATCTGTGAGGCGTTGAAAATTCAGCCTATGAACGGCACTCTGTAGTCTGACGAGCCATACTGCTACCCATGCCCGGCGTCGACAACATGTACACCTTAAGCGAGCTACAATTAGCCTTAACCCGCCTACCTCTTGGCAAGGAACCTGGAGAGGATGGAATTCCATATGAACTCATTAAACATCTTCCATCAACTGCACATAGTACTCTCCTAAACTATTACAACTTATGCTGGACTCACGGAAATATTGCCTCACAATGGCAGACCAGTATTATTCTTCCGTTCCTTAAACCAGGAAAAGACCCATCACAACCTGCGTCATATAGACCTATTTCCCTACTATCATGTCTCAGTAAAGTCATGGAAAGACTAGTACATACTCGCCTCCAATGGTACCTAGAATATAATAATATTATACCGTCACTCCAAGCTGGATTTCGACCGCAATGCTCCACACTCGACCAAATACTTTGCCTTGAACATGAAATCCGCACCTCCCTCAGAAGCAGCAAATTTTGTATTGTTCTCTACTTAGACCTCAAAGGAGCTTTTGATAGCATTCCTCATACTTGCCTCCTTGCAAAGCTTGCGCGTTTAGGCATACAGGGAAGATTACTTTTATGGTTAAAATCCTATCTTACGAACAGGACCTCTAAAGTCTACATACAAGGCGAGTTTTCTGATGACATCCCAATACAAACAGGTGTCCCACAGGGCTCCATACTATGCCCAACCCTTTTTGCTGCATTCTTAGCAGATTTGCCTAACACCCATCCTGTTAACCTCTCGGCGTTCGCCGACGACTTAACACTGTATTATTCAGACAATGCCTTACCTAATACAGTCTCAACAATGCAAACAGCACTTGATCACCTCATAGATTGGACACAACAATGGGGCCTTCAAGTCAGTACTACCAAAACCTGCTATTAGATTTTCACTAAAAAAACACTACTTCATCTACCCACCCTCACAATACACAACACTCCCATCCAACACGTACGAGAACATAAATATCTTGGTATGCACTTAGACTCGCCCTCACTTACCTGGAAAGCACACATTCAACACCTTAAACAGACGACACAACCCCGACCTCCCATACTGAAAGCCCTCACTGACACCACCTGGGGAGAACACCATAATATCTTGCTCCGTTTCTATACAACCTACATTCACAGCCAACTAGACTATTGTTGCCAAGCATATGCGTCGGCTGCGCCTACTAACCTACAGAGCCTAGAGGTCATCCAAAACAATGCCATGCGACTTATATGTGGCGCAATGCGTTCCACTCCTATCCTCGGACTTTACGGGGAAACGGGCCTCACAAGCCTAGCCACCAGACGAGACATAATGTGTGCCAACTATCTGTCACGCTGTACCACTGCTCACCCATACAGATAAAAAATTAACCCAACAGTTAACCCACATAACCCTCGCTTCCCAACCAATCACTCACAACCTTTCCTTACACGGGCTACAAATAACCTCAATATAGACCTCTCTCTACTCCAAAACTCGGAAACCCAACTTACTGTTCCCCTATTCCACCCTGGCTTTATACAACTCCTAATACATCAATACAACTCGAAGACAACATTCCAAAGTCTGCACTAAACTCAGCCATAGCCTCAGTATTTCTCTCAACAATGAAAAATTGCTACCCAAATACCACAGCGATTTATACAGATGGATCTCGCATCATCATGAACAACGTACCCTCGGTCACTAGCGCTGTAAGGATACCGGAATACCATCTCAAGCAGGGATGGCGGTTATCAAACCAACTATCTGTTTTCACAGCTGAATTATATGCCTTATATCAAGCTCTCCAAATAATCACAACATTACCAATCGGGACATATACAATCTGCAGTGACTCCAAGAGTGCGATTCAAGCAATTGCGTACTCTTCAAAAACGTGCAAGGAGTTTGTTAAGCCATGTCTTCAACTTCTTCATGAACATCGATTGAACGGTTATGATACCTCTATCCAATGGGTCCCAGCGCATTGTGGTATTCTCCATAATGAACTAGTAGATCAACTAGCCAAAGCAATGCACAACACACCTCACATTACCCGTCATCATATTCCCCATGTTGCACGTAAAGGAGCCTTCAAAAATACCATCACCCAAGATTTTGCGACGAAATGGAAAACGTTATGCTCACCTTTGTACTATAGGTCCATTAAAAAGAAATGGTAAACTTGGAAACATGTCAGATATAAAAGCAGAGAAATTGATATAGCGATGACCAGATTAAGGCTGATTAAGGCTAACACACCAAACTAGCAGCACACAGCTCTAAGTACAGAACAGACATCAACGAACTCTGCATCCACTGTCAGGTGCCTGAAACAGTCGAACACTATCTCCTGCACTGCTTCCGACATTATAGTGCCAGAGTAAATCTCAAACAAGTACTTATCTCACTTAATTTACCCTTTACCATCGAGCATATATTAGGAGGCGGTGACCACTCGATACAAGAAAAATACCAAATAGTCAAAGCACTGGCTAAATATCTCCAATCGACCAACAAATTGGGTCACATCTGACCCGCGCCACATTTATACCTGGCGCCACCAACAGCTAAACACAGAAAACAACTGCCTCGTCGCACCCCCAAGGATCAGCTGACGCCATAAACACAACACACCGCCCTACGGTGCGGCAAGTCTCCCTCTAACATACACCTCTGTTCTAGTCGCCGCTCCTCTGTCTACAGCACAACGCAACAAGCACTTTTGAAACTCTTATCATCTTCAACATAAACGCCTCTACCAACATGTGTACTGGTGCAGTCATCGGGAGGACAAACCCTTCATGCAAACTGCACCTACTGTCAAGAAGAAGAAGAAGTCTGACAGAAACCCAGATGAGCTCTTCTGCCCACGGAGGCACCGGTGAGATGATCGGGCTAGGGGTGAGTATGGGACGGGAAGAGAAAACTGTAAATAAGCATCCAAGGCCCGGACGACGAAAGGCAACTGACGGCGTCTGGAGTGTCCAGCTTGCACATTCCACCAGTTAGCCTCAAGCTGCAGGCGAGTAAGTGGATGGGTAGCATGGAGACGCACTATCCGCTGAAGCCAGCGATAAAGGGTGAAGAGATGTTCAAAGTGCAGGGGCCATAACCCCGACTCGGCATGAAAAGAGAGGACTGACGAGGAGGGCATTGCGCCTAGTGCTGAGCGAAGGGCACCATTTTGAATGGGATCCAGCCTTGCCAAGACCGATGATGCTGCTGAGCCATAGACTTCACT